CTTGACCAGCTCTCCGGTGCCCAGTTAGCCAGTTCTCTGCCCAGCCCTTCACCAGCAATTACGAAAAATCAAGAACAGGTACATCTCCTGCGGAGCACGTTTGCAAGAACCCAGTGGCCTACTCCCCAGGAGTATGACCAGTTAGCAGCCAAGACGGGCCTGGTCCGAACTGAAATTGTGCGCTGGTTCAAAGAGAACAGGTGCTTGCTAAAAACCGGAACCTTAAAGTGGATGGAGCAGTACCAGCACCAGCAGATAGCGGGAGATCACGTTTACGACGCCCCACCAAGGAAAGCAGTGAAAGCCGTCATCACTGAGAGCCCAAAGAATGGAAGTGATGTGGGTCAGCAACATTACAAGGACCCCAAAAAGCTCTGTGAAGAGGACTTGGAGAAGCTGGTACCCAGGGTGAAAGTGAGCAACGAGCAAGCCAAGGATGGTGTGCCGGCCAAGCCTTCCGAAGCCACCTCGGACAGGTCGGAGGGCAGCAGCCGGGACGGCCAGGGCAGCGACGAGAATGAGGAGTCGGGCGTTGTGGATTGGGTGGAGGTCACAGTCGGAGAGGAGGACGCCATCTCAGACAGGTCGGATAGCTGGAGTCAGACAGCAGCCGAAGGCACCGCAGAACAGGCCGGCTCGGACTCCGACAGCATCCCTGCCGAGGCTGGCCAGGCCTAACAGGTAACCCCCTCCTGGCTCCCCGCAGGAAAGTAGGCGAGGATGCTGGCTGGCTTTCTCTGTATTGCCAGAGTCCATATAGGTTGTAGGGTACGGAGATGTTGACACAGATGATGAGTTCTTTTTAAAAGTTCTTGTTTGGGGCGCCTGGGTGGCGCAGTCGGTTAAGCGTCCGACTTCAGCCAGGTCACGATCTCGCGGTCCGTGAGTTCGAGCCCCGCGTCAGGCTCTGGGCTGATGGCTCGGAGCCTGGAGCCTGTTTCTGATTCTGTGTCTCCCTCTCTCTCTGCCCCTCCCCCATTCATGCTCTGTCTCTCTCTGTCCCAAAAATAAATAAATGTTGAAAGAAAAAAAAAAAATTTAAAAGTTCTTGTTTGAAAAAGGAAGGAAACCAGGGATGCTGGCAGGCCAGGTCAGAAGACCTGGAGGGGGTCCCGCAGGACCAGTCAAAATGGTCCTTGGCTTCATGCAGGATGGAAAGCAGGTGTGAGCCAGCAGGAGGTGAGAGCAGAGTTTACTGAAGGGAGAGAGAGAGAGATTGAGAGCAGATACGGACGGAGCGTCTGGGAGACTTAAAAAGGAAAGGAGCAGGAGGGGCGCCTGGGTGGCTCAGTCGGTTAAGCGTCCGACTTCAGCCAGGTCACGATCTCGCGGTCCGTGAGTTCGAGCCCCGCGTCGGGCTCTGGGCTGATGGCTCAGAGCCTGGAGCCTGTTTCCGATTCTGTGTCTCCCTCTCTCTCTGCCCCTCCCTCGTTCATGCTCTGTCTCTCTCTGTCCCAAAAATAAATAAACGTTGAAAAAAAAAAAAAAAAAGGAAAGGAGCAAGAGTCTCATCTTTGCTTGGGGTCTGGGGATTTTATTGACCATTGCGGTCTGGAGCACATGTCCTCTCAGGCATCCAGGAACTCAGGGTCCAGGTGTCCATCATAAGTCGCTCGTTCCCTGGAGTCAGGGAATTTTGACGACGAGATGTCTAGAGTCAGTGGTCTGCAATAGGCAGGCGTGTGCCACATGATGGCCTCGCCTGGTCCTTCCTGAGATGTTATCTACTGTGCTAGAAGGCCCCAGAGAAGTCATGAACTCCTGGTCCCTTGTAAGGAGGACGTACGTTAAGGCATGTGCGGCGCAGGGGGTGCAAGTCCTAACGAGAGAGAATAGAAGCAAGAAAGGGAGCAAAAAGCAGATTTTATGGAGCCCTTCGGTTTCCTGGTCTCACTAGCGGCTGGTGGATTTTGTGTCCTCGTTTGCAAGGCCCTGCCCATGAGTGACAGCGCTGTGGCATACCTTGGACGCACCCTCTGGGGCCTCTCCGTTCCTCAGTCTACAAGCAGTTATAGGGACACAGCCTCTGCCTGCTTTCTGTTTGCTGCTGTAAGAAACGGACCTGAAAAGGATGTGTCTTTTCCTTTTGCTTTCTGTGTTGTTTTGTTTTGTTTTGTTTTCATTTTCATTTTCTTTCCTTTCTTGGATTTTTAAGGGTAGCTAACCAAGTTTACTGGCCAGAGATTTGGGGTTGTTTCTTTCAACCTGACAGGTTTTGGTGTTTGCCCAGTCATGGCTGAAGGAAGGCGAGTTTCTCACTATATAACACAGCTCATAATTGTGCTGAGTGGGTCCCCAGAACCCCTTCAAATCTGGAAGAGACTGGTGTAAATTAGGCCTGTGGAGCCACAAAAGCCTGGGAAGGGAGGTTGCCATGGTTACTAATGGCCGTGTCATCCACATGATGGGACATGCACCCAGGCCCTGGTGTTTGTGCTTTCACAAGAGGTCTGTGCAAATCAAGGCCTCAAAACACAGCAGCTTGCTTGGTGGTAGGTTTAGAATAGAGGGGGCAGCGGGGAGAGGGGTGCAGGAGGCAGAGAGCCGACCTTGGCCAAAGCCGACACATTCCACGGGCAGCTTGGAACCAGGAGGGAGAGGTGTGATTTACGCTCTGCCCAGATTGGCTTCTCCAGAGGTCACTTAAAAGGCAACAGAAGCCCCCCCCCCCCATCATGTCATCTTTAAAAATAATGAAACAAAGGTAAGAACCTCCAGAATGATTGATAAGGTCCCGAAGGGAGCCCTGGAAATTACCATGCTTCTTTATTAACGACTTCGGACAACTTTGGCTGGTCATGCCCCTCATCAATTCATTTATTTCATAGTAAGAAACAGCAGTAAAGAAATAAATGAAAAAATAAAGTCTTCTTAGAAACCGTATTTTAGCCGGTTCCATCAGTTAGTGAAAGAGCAGTTGAAGGAACAGCCAATCAAAGATGCCATCAGGGCTTCTTCCCGCCGCCCCCCTCCCCCGACTTTTCAAGGGGGAATCGTAATGGGGTACAGGTGAGGAGGCGGTCCAGAGGGGAGGGGCTAGTGGCAGGAGGGGGCTAAAGTCCAATAGTACCAACTGCCCCCCACCATCTGGCTACCTTGGTTCCTCCCTCTGGCTATTCTCGTACCTTCCTTTGAGACCTAGCTTGCCCTGTCTTCTATCCTTGACCTTTTCCAGTGCGTGACATAAATTTACCCGATTGCTTTTTCCTCCTGCCACGGAGTAGACAACAGGGTTCAGTTCAATCCAGCAAATACATTCTGCACACCTACCGTGTGCCAGTCTCTGTGCTAAGTGACAGAGATAACGGGATGAAGAAAGCAGATAAGAGTCCTTTCACGTGGTGCTCAGTCAGGCCAAGGAGAGAGGAAATTGCTCTTTCCTTTACTAGCCGGGGTGATCCATGGTGTGATAGGGACACGCCCAGCTGTGCACTGGAGCACGCAGGAGGGGCATCCAGAGGTCAGGGCAGGCTTCCCGGAGGAAGGGATATCTGTCTCAGAGACTAGCTGAAGGGAAGGGGCTGGCCGGCGCACTGACAAGGAAGAGTGGCTCATGTGGAAAGGGACAGACAAGGAAAGTTCCAGAGATGAGAAAAGGAATGGTACAGTTGAGGAACCAAGAGAGTTTGGGCACAGCCAGAAAGCCGAGTTTGGGGTTCAGGAGACGATGAGAAAAGGCAACTCAAAGAAATGACCGTGGTTTTCCACAGCAAGCAAAAGCTGTTCTGAACCAGCTGTGTTGGCCGAGTTTGAGTAGAATTGTGAGTGTCCCGTGTCCCAGAGTGAACTGGGATGGCACTTCCAGGTCCCCATGGCTGAGTGGGGTTTGTCTAGGGGTAGCAGCTCCCCAGGGGCCCTGAGGCCACCTGTCCCCATCCCTTCCCCCCCAAGCTGTACCACCACCGACAGGGGGACATGCCCAGCTCTTCTGCCTACCATCGGGCCTGTTCCCCACGAGAGGCCCAAGAGAAACATAAAGGGGGAAGCAATGCTAAAACCATTAATGGGCAGCTTTGGAGGGAAGGGAGGAAGGATGGAAGGGTGGGCGCAGGGCCTCCTGAGCACCAGAGGCTGAGCTAAGTGCTCTGGCCCCAGATGGTCTTCCTCGGTGCTCCTAGTGACGCCGAGAGCTAAGCTACTGTATATTTTCATAGGCCTAGAAACTGAGGCTCAGAAACCAAGGAGCATACCCTCCTTGTCCCAACCAGTATCTTGGCTTCCCTCCACAGCCCCGCCTCCTACTGCTGTCTCTGCCTCTCTGTTTCTGACAGAAACTCCCTGTCTCTGGATGACCCCCAGGGTGGGGTTGGGAGGGGGGTGTTTAGATTTGACTGCGGATATTAGATAATTCAGAGATGAAGGAACTGGCTGTTTCCTTTTTCTACCTCCCACCCACCCACACACACACACAAACCCAGAAATACCGTGGAACCCCCTTTTATGTTTCTTTATGGCGAATGCCCTCAAGTGTGAGCTGAAAAATGTTCCCAAACAAGATGCTATGGTCTGCTTGACACCGGGTAGCACCCAGTGTCCCTACTGGCTTCCTGATGTTTCCGAGGTGCTACTGCATTGAGAAAAGGGCTGCGGGTCTGGCCTGGTGGTGGCATCCCGGACAGAGGCACCCACTTAAGGGAACCTTTCAACTTAGAGGGAAGAAATCCCTCCAAATTACTTCACAGCTTTTATGAACCGAACACATGGGTCTCTTGAAATTCATAAATATTCAGTGATGCCTTTATTTAAACACATATTTATTTAGGAAGCTGCAGTTGGGTTCAGTTGTTACACATACGATAATCCTGAAAATAATGCACAGTTTCAGCTTCGTAAAAGGTGTTATGGGATGTACGTATGAGAAAGAGAAAAAGAGAGAGAATGAACTTGGGCGAGCAGCTGAGAGCAAACTCCAGGGTGGGGTTTCCTCCTCTGTTGTGGTTCAGCATCCCCTCCGCTGAAGCTTCACAAGCTCACGACAGCATTGACTCGGGCCAGGTTCACTCAGCCTTGAGGGCAGACAGAAAGGGACTCCTTACTTTTGAATTGTGTTGTGATGATTCATCTTCCGGGGTCAAACAGTTATGGAGCTATCCATTGAGAGACCTGTCGTGGTAAGAGGCTGAACAGTAAATTCCTCCTTTCCTAAAAATGAGTCAGAATACTTCAGCCAAACATTGCCAGACATATGCCTCAATGTTTGGCCAGATGGAATATCCCAGTACTCCTACTACTAAGAATTTCTATATACCGGTATATGCCATGTACTTGGCATTCTTCTTAGCACATCCATTAAATCATTTAAACCTCACTTCATCCCCGTGACATAGGTATGGCCTTCTTCCTGTTGTGCAAAGGGCAAAACCGAGGCTCAGAGAGATGCGTGGGTTCCTCAGCTAGCAGCTGGTGGCGCCCGGAGGCCACCTCTCATCTGTGAGGCACCAGTGCCTGACCCAACCACAGTTGGTACGACTGCCATGGGTCAGGGCAGACCAGCAGGACTTGACTCTTAATACTATAGTCAAACATGAATACACAGTGACTCGTGCACTAACTTGGCTACCTCCCAATTCCTGACAGTTTCCAACTCATGATTAGGGATGGCTTTGGACAAGAGATAAATTTCGTGAAAAATATTTTCCAGGGTTCAGCTTGCTTAAAAAATTCAAGGCTACCAACTGGTGCATCCTGGCTACACTTTAGGATCCAGGATATGCGTGCCCCACAGTCTGTTCAGATTAGCTGTCTAAATACAGATATTTGAATGAGTGGATGGATGGATGGATGGATGCATGGATGCATGGATGAAACTGTAATTATCTGTTTCTCTGTCTCTCCCCACCAGACCCTTGAATGTAGGGACCATATCCTATTAATCTCTGAGTCCCTAGTGCCTAATTTGGAGGGGGTGCTTAATAGCAATGTATTGAACCAACCTGAGAATTAACAAACATAGTTGACTTTCAGTTGTCTGGAATCTGGTATTTCAGTCCTTTGCTCCTCGTCCTCCTCCTCCTCCCCCTCCCCTACCACCCCCTCCCCACTCCCTCTTCCTTTCACTTCTCGTCCTCCTTCCCTTTTCCCTCCTCCTCATTTTCCATCACTCATTAGCCTTATTAGCTGACAGCTGACAGAGGAGAGAAGTTGGGGACAGTTTGCTTTCTGTGCATGTGAGCAGCTCCAGGAAAAGGTCTGCTGGAGAAACTCACTGGTTATTTACTGGGTGATGCTTCTCAGGGACTGCCCATTAGCCTCGCAGCCCTGGCACCTAATGGAGAGTTAACTGTTACCACTTCCATTTGCCTAATTCTGGAGCTTCTCACGCTAGGAATTCTCACTGTGCTTTGGGCAGCTTGTAGCAATTTAGGAATCATGAAGTCTAAGTTCCCTCATTTGTCAGAGGAAGGATGTGGGCCCCAAGGAGAGGAAGTAACTGGTCCAGAGACATCCATAATAAGTGATTCGACCCATTTATGCATCAGGTTATTTGTGGAATGCCTCTGGCGTGCCACACTCCAGGTGTGTTCAAACTCTGAACATCTGTGGTGCCCAGCATGTTCCTGCCCTCATGGAGCCCACAGTCTAGTGAGGGATGAAATTTTAACCAAACAAAAAGGAGAGATTGCCATGCTAACAGGTTTTTTAAAGGAAAGGTACACAGTCTGTGGGAATATACGATAGGGGAATTTGACTTGATTTGAGTGGTTGGGGGAGGCTTCTCTGAAGAGATAATTAACGAGTTAAAATCCAAAAAGTCAAGTATGAGTTGGCTGAGCAGAGAAGAGGGGAAGTAGCCTTCCATGCTGAAGATACAGCATACTCAAAGGCCCTGAGGCCAGAGGGAACTTCACATCGGGGGCCCTAAAAGGTGGCCATTGTGGCAGTGATTTGCCCAGTTCACACTTCACAGAAGTTCATGGGTTAAAAACCAGAGTGGTATGTGACCTACAAATAATCCAAATGTCCCTTGAAACTCCTCTACCTCACCAGTAAAGAAGACTGTATGTGATTCAGTGTGTATGATCCTGTAGAGAAAGGTTAGATGCTCTGAGATACTCAAGGAAGGAGTAAAAGGAAGTCATGTTGCAGATATCTGGGCATTCAGACCTTCCTGCCATAGTGGTAAATGGAGGATGGATGCTGGAAAATTCTAGAGCATCCACATGGCCATATGTTTTACTTTATTCTCTATTATTAGTAGGTCTCTATAACTTTAATACTTAACGATATTAGTTAACTAAGGCTGCCAGAACAGAACACTACAGATTGAGTGGCTTAAACAACATTTATGTCCTTGCAGTTCTGGAGACTGAAAGTTCAAGATCAAGTTTCCAAGCAGAGTTGGTTACTGTTGTGGTCTCTCTCCTTGACTTGCACGCAGCCACTTCTCTCTGTGTCCTGTCCTTTCCTAGTCTTTCCTCTGTGCCTGTGCCCTCCTAATGTCTCTTCCTCTTCTTATAAGGACACTAGAGCCCCACCTCATGACCCTCATTTAGCCATAATTACCTCTTTAAAGGCCCATCTCCAAATACAGTCAGATTGGGGTTAAGGCTTCAACATATGAATGGTGGGGTAGGGGACATAGTTCAGCCCATAGCACTAATAGAATTGTCTGTTGTTGTTAGGATTAAATGAAATAATACAAGTGAAATCCCCTAAACAAGGGCCCAGCATTAGCATCAGCAGTTGCTTAGTTGCTGGCTCTGAATTAACAGTCTTTTTTTTTTTTTTAGTATATTATGATTATTTTTAATGTTTACTTATTTTTTTTTAATATATTTTTTAACGTTTATTTATTTTTGAGACAGAGAGAGACAGAGCATGAACAGGGGAGGGGCAGAGAGAGAGGGAGACACAGAATCTGAAACAGGCTCCAGGCTCTGAGCTGTCAGCACAGAGCCTGACACGGGGCTCTAACTCACGGACTGTGAGATCATGACCTGAGCTGAAGTCAGACTCTTAACCGACCAAGCCACCCAGGCGCCCCAAATGTTTACTTATTTTGAAAGACGGTGGGGAGAGGCAGAGAGCAAGGAAGAGAGAGAGAGAATCCCAAGCAGGCTGCACACTGTCACCACCGAGCCCGATGTGGGGCTTGGTCCCATGAACCATGAGATCATGACCTGAGCTGAAATCAAGAGTTGGGTGCTCAACCGACTGAGCCACCCAGGTGCCCTGATGCTTTTTTTTTTTTATGGAGAAGAACTTGGCTGAATACCTTCCAACTTGGCTTTTTCAGTTGGGGCCCCACTTGTACAAGCTCATGCTGTTGTGTATTAATCGCATCTCAGAGAGGTGGGGGTGAGGATGGGGGGCAATGACAAGGGGTAACATTTGCTGAGCCCTTACTGTGCCAGGCACTTTTCATGTGTTGATGACTCTCTGAAGTCAACACTATTCTTTTTCATTTTATGGCTGAGGAGAACGAGGCACAGAAAGGTAGCTCATCCAAGATCCTTCAGCTAGAAAGTGGGGGAGCTGGCATTCAAACCCGAATCCACATGCATAAACACGTCAGGGGTGTGCCTAGTGAGTTTAAAATATGATTCTGTTTGCCCAAATCCTTTGGACTCCTCTAGATAATATCCTCTGATGGAAAAAGGGCAGGAAGAGCCAATAGCCCCTTTGACTCCTTCTCCCATTGAGCCTCCTTGCAAGCAGCCTGGGGGAGACTTGCCTGGCTTGTAAGTCTCAGCAATTTCCCCAAGCCCAGAGGCTCCCCAAACGGCTGCGGTGAAAGAGCTTTGGCCAGATATGCCAGAGTTGACCAAGGCCTGGCATGGGAACAATTTGAGATGGGATGGAGTCTTCCTGGTCCACTGGGAAATTGCTTAATCCCTCTCCCTGCCACCATGTTTTCCTTTTCCCAATTCTAATTAAAATCAGAGCATGCCCCCTCTCAAGAAAAGAAAGTTTGGCTCAAATATTATTAAGATAATAAATCACTATCACGGTGCTTGTTTTTCTGTCTCCCGGAGTACAGTATTACTCTCTCCTGAGTCCGCGGGGCTTAGGGAAATCCCTACAGAGCAAATTAAAGAGACACAGAAACAGGTATCACATGGGAAAAGAATTCTAATTTTTTCATGTTTCCCCAATGGGTAAAGTAATAAGCATATTTTGCTGAAGAATTAGACAGTACTTTTTAGCCTTCCAAGTTGTCCCCAAGATAGAAAGGGACTGCTATGAAGGCAGAGGGTTCTCTGTCCTGGGCAGTGTTCAGGAAGAGGCTAGACATCCACTTGGTAGAATAGTGGCCATAAGCAAAGGGCCCGACGATCTTGCTGTTTCCTCCCAAAGGGGAGATCCGGTGCTCTAGGATCAAATAATCCATCGGGTCACTGGTCCTCTGCCTTGGGGAATGTCTCCGTCCTAGTGGTAAGATTGCGGATAGAAGCCCAGGGGATTAGCAAGAGGCCACACAGTCAAAATCACTGTGCTACTCTACAATAAAAACCCGAGATGGGAGTTTGTCACCAACGTTGTGTAACCAGCCACCCCTCTAAGAGCAGCGTGCTTGTCCCATTTTTCTTTCACTAATGAACGCCGGGGCATACTGTGTGGGCCAGACCCAGAGTGGGGCGGGGGGCCAGGGGTCAGCAGTGAGCACCGCGGGCCCCATGCGTGTCCTCAGAGGACGTACAATTAACCAGGCAGTTTGAAGACCGCGTGACACAGTTGTGCTGGAGATCCCTGGTGCAGGGGCGTTTGACAAGGAGACCTGAGGGTGCTCGGGGGCAAAGCCTTCCGGGGAAGCAGCCTGTGGCTAGGACGCGCTGCCCAAGGGGATGTGACTGGGCCACCGGCTGTGTCCCTCATGGGGAAGGGAAACCGCCCCGCCTTCTGTTCCCAGCGGCTTCCCAGCCTCCCTTTTGAGAGCATTGCCAGCCCCCGCAGTCCTGCCCGCTGCCGCACACCCTGGGAGGGGTCAGAGGAGAGCTGAGATCCCAGGGTGCTCCCAGGGCCCAGAGCCACCCTCGGACATCTGGGGTCTCTGCAGAAGCAACTTGGTGTCCTTTTCTCCGGGTCACCCTTTTGCCCTCTGCAGTCCGTTTGGGAAGGGGGTGGGGGGTGGTAAGGGCTTTGTTCAGTATTTCTTTTCTTCG